ACGCCTTTACCCTCCCGTCTTCTGATTCCCGGCGAAGTTGATCTGTTCCGGTCTTTTCAACCAATCAAAATGTAGCAAATTTTGAAGCCCGCGACTTTCAGACCACAAATATTTGTATTGCCTGCCCTGATTCGTCAAAAACATCGAAAACTTTAATTTTTAAACCCGTTTTAATAAAGAAACATTTCAAAACATAACAAATACGTTTGCAAAGCTTACGCAAATAAGTTACGATGTGAAACATATTTTCTATTCCCACAGGGATGTTTAAAACGGTGATTTTTTAACTTCTGATCTATTTATAACCAATCAGAGCGTCGCAAATTTTAAAGTCCGTTCTGCACGATGTAAAGAAAAAAGATCGCATAGTATTGTAGTTTCGTTTTGTGTTACTATATATAGATTTTTGCTTAACCACGCATAGGATACAAAAAGAGCTCGCTGCGCTCGCTATTATGACTACAGCACGTCTAACCCTACATCGCGTGGTTTACTCTGTAATTACAGAACTAGGTACGTGTGATTATGACTACAGCACGTCTGACCCGACATCGCGTGGTTTGCTCTGTAGTTGCAGAACTAGGTATGTGTGTTATTATGACTACCGCACGTCTGACCCTACATCGCGTGGTTTACTCTGTAATTACAGAACTAGGTACGTGTGTTATTATGACTACAGCACGTCTGACCCGACATCGCGTGGTTTACTCTGTAGTTGCAGAACTAGGTATGTGTGTTATTATGACTACAGCACGTCTGACCCTACATCGCGTGGTTTACTCTGTAGTTACAGAACTAGGTACGTGTGTTATATCATGACTACAGCACGTCTGACCCTACATCGCGTGGTTTACTCTGTGATTACAGAACTAGGTACGAGTGTTATTATGACTACAGCACGTATGACCCTACATCGCATGGTTTACTCTGTAACTACTGAACTAGGTACGTGTGTTATTATGAGTAAAGCACGTCTGACCCTACATCGCGTGCTTTTCTCTGTAATTACAGAACTGGGTACGTGTGTTATTATGACTACAGCACCTCTGACCCTACATCGCATGGTTTACTCTCAAATTACTGAACTAGCTACGTGTGTTATTATGACTACGGCACGTCTGACCCTACATCGCGTGGTTTGCTCTGTAGTTACAGAACTAGGTACGTGTGTGATATCATGACTACAGCACGTCTGACCCTACATGGCATGGTTTACTCTGTAATTACTGAACTAGGTACGTGTGTTATTATGAGTAAAGCACGTCTGACCCTACATCGCGTGCTTTACTCTGTAATTACAGAACTAGGTAGGTGTGTTATTATGACTACAGCACGTCTGACCCGACATCGCGTGGTTTACTCTGTAGTTGCAGAACTAGGTACGTGTGTTATTATGAATACAGCACGTCTGACCCTACATCGCATGGGTTACTCTGTAATTACTGAACTAGGTACGGGTGTTATTATGACTACAGCACGTCGGGCCCTATATCGCGTGGTTTACTCTGTAGTTACTCTGGCAGCCAGAAGAACCAATCATGTCCGATCACCCTACATCGCATGGTTTACTCTGTAACTACTGAACTAGGTACGTGTGTTATTATGACTATAGCACGTCTGACCCTACATCGCGTGGTTTGCTCTGTAGTTACAGAACTAGGTACGTGTGTGATATCATGACTACAGCACGTCTGACCCTACATCGCATGGGTTACTCTGTAATTACTGAACTAGGTACGTGTGTTATTATGACTACAGCACGTCTGACCCTATATCGCGTGGTTTACTCTGTAGTTACTCTGGCAGCCAGAAGAACCAATCATGTCCGATCATGCTGTGTAAATAAACGACAATATATCCCACCTACACATAGAATTGACATATAACTCTGCTTTCGTATCCTCACCTTCGGGGTTACAATTTCCTAATCCGTGATTACAGCACAAAGATGGAAATCTAAATCGTCTTAACTACTGTTAAAACAGAGGGGCAGGTGTGTAAAACCACTTATTACATACTTACTAATAAAAACGGGTTTACATATGAAGCTTCGATACATAAAGTTGTACGTTACATATGAAGCGTCGATACATACAGTTGTACGTTATATATAAAGCGTCGAGAGATACAGTTGTACGTTACATATAAAGCGTCGATACATACAGTTGTACGTTACATATAAAGCGTCGATACATACAGTTGTACGTTACATATAAAGCGTCGATACATACAGTTGTACGTTACATATAAAGCGTCGATACATACAGTTGTACGTTACATATAAAGCGTCGATACATACAGTTGTACGTTACATATAAAGCGTCGATACATACAGTTGTACGTTACATATAAAGCGTCGATACATACAGTTGTACGTTACATATAAAGCGTCGATACATACAGTTGTACGTTACATATAAAGCGTCGAGAGAACCAGTTGTACGTTACATATAAAGCGTCGATACATACAGTTGTACGTTACATATAAATCGTCGATACATACAGTTGTACATTACATATAAAGCGTCGAGAGATACAGTTGTACGTTACATATAAAGCGTCGATACACACAGTTGTACGTTACATATAAAGCGTCGATACATACAGTTGTACATTACATATAAAGCGTCGAGAGATACAGTTGTACGTTACATATAAAGCGTCGATACATACAGTTGTACGTTACATATAAAGCGTCGATATATACAGTTGTACGGTACACATGAAGCGTCGATATATGCAGTTGTAGTTTACATATGAAGCGTCGATACATACAGTTGTACGTTACATATGAAGCGTCGATACATACAGTTGTACTATACATATAAAGCGTCGATACATACAGTTGTATGCTACATATAATGCTTCAATACATACAGTTGTACGTTACATATATATCGTCGATAAATACAGTTGTAGTTTACATATGAAGCGTCGATACATACAGTTGTACGTTACATATGAAGCGTCGATACACACAGTTGTACGTTACATATAAAGCGTCGATACACACAGTTGAACGTTACATATGAATCGTCGATACATACAGTTGTACGTTACATATGAAGCGTCGATAAACACAGTTGTTCGGTACATGTACATATGAAGCGTCGAGAGATACAGTTGTATGTTACATATAAAGCATCCGTCGATACATACAGTTGTAGGGTACATATGAAGCGTCGATATATACAGTTGTACGTTACATATATTTCGTCGATAAATACAGTTGTACATTACATATGAAGCGTCGACACATACAGTTGTACGTTACATATGAAGCGTCGATACACACATTTGTACGTTACATATAAAGCGTCGATACATACAGTTGTACGTTACATATGAAGCGTCGATACATACAGTTGTACGTAACATATAAAGCGTCAATACACACAGTTGTACGTTACATATAAAGCGTCGATACACACAGTTGTACGTTACATATGAAGCGTCGATACATACAGTTGTACGTAACATATAAAGCGTCAATACACACAGTTGTACGTTACATATAAAGCGTCGATACATACAGTTGTACGGTACACATGAAGCGTCGATATATGCAGTTGTACGTTACATATGAAGCGTCGATACGTTACATATAAAGCGTCGCTACATACAGTTGAACGCTACATATGAAGCGTCGATACATGCAGTTGTACGTTACATATGAAATGACAAAAACGGACAGGTGTTCAGTCATATGGAGTGTCCGATAAATTCAGTTGTGCTCTTCACATGGATTGACGAGGGCTCTACATGTGGATCGACAGTTAATATGCTATTTTGAATACCTACACTCATTCAGTTGTATACTGGATATATGGAGTGATGTACATATAAGTGTTCACCACAGTCCCGCGGTCTGCTACATATTAAAACAGAGGGGCAGGGGTGTAAAACCACTTATTACATACTTACTAATAAAAACGGGTTTACATATGAAGCTTCGATACATAAAGTTGTGCGTTACATATGAAGCGTCGATAAATACAGTTGAACGTTACATATGAATCGTCGATACATACAGTTGTACTGTACACGTGAAGCGTCGATATATGCAGTTGTACGTTCCATATGAAGCGTCGATACATACAGTTGTCCGTTACATATAAAGCATCGATACATACAGTTGTAGCGTACATATGAAGCATCGATATATACAGTTGTACGTTACATATCGTCGATATATACAGTTGTACGTTCCATATATATCGTCAATAAATACAGTTGTACGTTACATATCGTCGATAAATACAGTTGTAGTTTACATATGAAGCGTCGATACGTTACATATAAAGCGTCGATACATACAGTTGTACGTTATATATGAAGCGTCGATATATACAGTTGTACGTTACATATATATCGTCAATAAATACAGTTGTACGTTACATATGAAATGACAAAAACAGACAGGTGTTCAGTCATATGGAGTGTCCGATAAATACAGTTGTACTCTTCACATGGATTGACGAGTGCTCTACATGTGGATCGACAGTTAATATGCTATTTTGAATACCTACACTCATTCAGTTGTATACTGGATATATGGAGTGATGTACATATAAGTGTTCACCACAGTCCCGCGGTCTGCTACATATTGTACACATTAACCGTTCCAATACACATATAGTAAGTCTTCATTGTTATATCCAAGGAAATAGTTTTATAGCTTTTGTTTAATCAATAGGTGACAATATATGTTAATAACGTTGAATGAGATGGACTTGGAACAAAAGAAGCAGGGACAACGTTTCATGATTAAGTTTATTTCACAACAAAACACACGTTAGCAAATGTATACATAGAAATGAAATAGAAAATCTATAAAAATGTGTGTTTCTTCTCTATCGTTAAACTTTCAGCCCTAGCTGATAATTATATTTTTAAGAGTATATTAAAGTCAAAATCTAAATATAAACATTTCTAAAGATAAAATGACAAATTAAAAATATGCTAACATGATTTAAAATGTATGATAATTATGTTCTAAAGAATAATAGTCAGTGATGCCTCATCGATATTACACAAATCTGTACTTAATAATCTCTAAAATCTCTAAAATAAGTTTCAACGGACAAATGTATATTTCAATGTAAGGTATCCAACATGTGGTCTGTAAACACTTAGACATCAAGTACGTGTTATAATCCCTCCCCTCAGGCCACTACTTCTTATTTGATATCATTGAAACATTCCTCCATTTCCTGTATCCACCATTACAATTCATCTCTTTAAAATGAGTCTGTGCTATACAATGATGTAGTTCTAAGCTAGTACCTGATGTGTCCATTGAGGGTATGCCTTTCTCGTACGGATAGATTCAGCTCCTAGGTTACTGTAAATTCTGTGTTCTCTCCTATGAGCAGATTTATCACACTTCATGTACTTCTTACATAGACAAAACACCATATTTCCTGAGTTAACTACACTTTCTTCTCATATCTTTATTCTAAATATACAGATCTGACATCGCGGTTCCTGAAATAAGTAATGTGTACTCTGATAGTCAGCATCCTTTTCCAGATTCCTTCTCTAATGCAATAGTAAGCACCATAGTTCCAATAACTACTGTGCTGTCCTTTCAGCATCATATTTACTTATTTTCTGTGATCTCTAGATCTTTGGTGTTGTCTTAGCTGTCATGTTGATGCTGCCTGATGACACGCCCCTTCCATCAAAATTAAAACAGAAGTGTTTTGCCTACAAATGAGCAGCGACCGGTTCCATTGAGGATATCATCAGTGTGGATGGCTAACATCCGAAGCAAGACTGTGGTTTAGTCTGACCAGGATATTGTCAAATGAGTCTCGTCCCATGTAATCCATCTGGTATTTGTCCCAGCGATGTCGGCGTTCACAGTCGTCACTGTTACAGCCCTTAAAGTGGTACTGGTCAGTTATTGAGTAGGGTTTGACCGTTACCGGTCTGTCTGTATCTGTCATCACATTATATTGGGCCGGACTCTATACGGATCAATATATTTTATAACATTTCTACAAATTGAACCAAGGGAAAAGAAAGTCCCCATAGAAAAAACAATTGGTATTATGCCATTAAACACAACATATTTAATACATTTGTTTAGAATGAAACTCAAGTTACATGAAATAGTAAAAGAAAAATACTCATCAAATTTGATTTTGGTAAATATTCTTGTTGATGCGTTTCCTCAAAGTTTTAGGATGATATAAAGAAGGAGACCGTTACCTTACTATCTTCCTGAGGAGCAGGAAGAAGAGGAGGAGGAGGACTGAAGGACATACTCTGTAGTCTTATCTGCTCTCTGGTTAGTTCCACTACAGACTGAAACAGGTCATACTGCACTATCAGTATCATCAGTGTAACATGTCGTATCTAGTGTCATGATCATGCACCAAAGTGATACAGGATTTAGTATAGCTGACAAATTACTGAACTAGAGATAAATGTAGAAGACTTCTGACCAGAAATCAACTTACCTCATCACCTGTGTGCGGAGGGGACAAAATCTGCTTGATACCTGAAAGCAATAATGGAATAAAGTATTAGTAGGGTCTGCGTGATACAATCTACATCAATATGCTGATGTATACAATTTTTCTATTTAAATCTGTATACGTCCTTTTGCCTGCATTTGACTTGGTGGTCGTTTTCCGACCTTTTGTTTAGGGCTGTTTTGCTTAACTGCCAATCTGTTGGACTTGTTTGTTAGCCAACCTTTTAAATTGTGTTGGTGCAGATATTTGGTCTCGGTATTTGTTTTCATACATTTTGACTTGTTTGTTTACTCACCATTGGCTTGTTGTTTATTTGGGTTGTTGTGGTCCATCACCCAGTAAACAACTTGCATCACAACGCTCAAGAAAATCATGTTCACAATCTAGGGAAACAGAAAATTAAAGGGGTTGTTGATAATTTTTCCTCAACAAAGGAGTCCAGAATGAGATATCCGTCATTTTTCTCCATTCCAGATGAAATATAGAATCTTAGTGCATAATGTTAATGTAGTCTAAATAAATAAAATAGTTATATTTTGTTGGAAAATACAGACGTTTGGCCTTTTCGTTTCACCTTTTAGTCGAAAGAACGAAAAGAAGTCACTGCTTTTGGCGCTTTGAAACTCTCGGAACAGAAACTTTGGCGTCGTTAGTTACGGAACAATTCCACGTGACCCTGATTGTGAAGCGGTGCCTAGCGGAGTAAATTTGTACTACGGCAGATAAGTCTGTAACCAGACTCGGACATAGTTATGTGGCTAGAAAAGCATTAATTCATGGTAACGACCCTACACTTTACATATTTGCTTTGAAATTATAAAACAAATAAATCTCCCGGCGACCGATATTTAACAGTTACTAGCTCATTATTGAAACCGTTTAATTTGTTGGCACACACTTACATGTTAGGGTAAAACATGAACGCTACACACACAGGTGATCTCACCTTTACAATTTGGCAATTGATACAGTATGTTAAAAATAAGTTACACTGTCCTTCTAGGACTCGTCGCCGGTGATGCTATGTAGTGGGCCAAAAAGTATGTTATTCCATAAAACTACGCTTCTAAAAAATGAAAATTTCTCATAAGTAACACTGTTTTGGAAATATCTTAAGAGAAACCAGTGACTTCTTCGTTGTATATCACAAATTTATAAAACATCCCCGTTGTCTTATCGTGATTATCGTGTCCAACATTATAAAGCTCACGCAGTATATAAACCTAATTTTAGAAACATTACGGAGACCGGGACAAGTTCGGCCGTTTTTTTGTTTTTTGTTTTTTTGTTCTGGAAAGTATGGCATAATTTGTTGCGTCTGTATACACATCATGCACCATTTTGAAGAGAAACCCCAAGCCTGTCATAAAATATTAACAAACGGACAAACATGTCTGTATTCATAGTTGAAGATTTTTAATGATAACGTCATAAAGCATACATCGTCAGACTTCCCCGCCAATATTACGGCTTTCCATGTGTTGCATAGGCCGACCTGCCGAAAAATGGCATTTCATAAAATTGGTAATACGGAAGTCAATGCTAGGCTTTAATACATGTATATAGGTCTACCATCATGTGAAGCGTTCATTTTAATACACACATGACATAAATAAGTAGCAATTTGGTTTACAGAAAGTTTGCAAAACTAGCGACGTCATGCCGGCTTTCCTCTCTTTTCACCCTCCAAAAAGTAACTTGATTTAACAATTGACTTTTCCCCGCCATTTTTTCGTGTGAATGTCACGCCAATTTAACTGAACTTCTAAAATCCTCAAAATTGTAAATATTTGCTCAAGAACAAAAATGTCAGAGGTGGTCGCACTTACCCCGGAATCGAACTATTGCCCCGGTCCATGGCTACCAGTGGAACATTCTATTACATTGACAGTATAAAAGATACATGTTAACAATTACTGAAAGTATGAAGCATAATCTTGAATGATATGCTGGCTATACTCATGATATTAACGGATCAAGACTCTCTCAAAGAGTCCAAAATCCTAACACAAACCCTTTTTCTTTCTTTTTTCTTTTCCTTATTTAGATTCTGGAACCAGTAATTTTACTACAATGAAACAATATATGTATTTGTTTTACTTCTTGGGTATCATCAGCGCGTATCTGGTTATAAAACTCAAGTCATTTCTTAAAGAGTCCGGTTCACTGCAGTTGATATTTTTAGCTTGCCGAGTACCTAAATTGGAACACCGCATCATATAACTCAGTTAATGAAAATAAATGACAGTATTTTAAATATTTTCTTCATTTCATGAAGGTTTTGACATTTTTTGATAATTTGTATTCATTAATTCATTTTGAACAAAAGTTATATGTGTTTAAAAATGTGATACTAGGATATTGATGTTGTCCCACCGTGCCTAATCCCTTTATTTACAGGAGGTTAGCAGACAAAACTAGCTCCAATTGCTTAAAACTGTTTGAATTTCGATGAACAGATACCATTAAAGTAACAAGAGGCACAAATGGCCTGCATCGCTCACCTGGTATTAATCTCACACTTGTAATCTTAATAGTGGACTAAATAACAGCTACAGGCAGAATATCAGTATTTGATTCATAAGAACCTATTAAAAGATTTAAACATATGACGCCTGTGACTTCGAATGTCGAACAAGGACATTAGGTTAAAAGTTGGTCAAAGTCATTCATTTGAATAGCCCTTCATTTCAGCATGCTACAGGCCCAATTTCAGTTCCCTTGGCCTTTTGGTTTTTGAGAAGTTGTTCGAAGATTTTACGACGTTTACCCCTGTGACATTGAAAGTGGGTCAAGGTCATGAATTTGAACAAACTTGGTAGCCCTTCATCCCAGCATGCTACAGGCCCAATATCAGTACCCTCGGCCTTTTGGTTTTCGAGAGGAAGTTGTTTGAAGATTTTAAGACATTTGACCCCTGTGACCTTGAAAGTTGGTCAAGGTCATTCATTCGAACAAACTTGGTAGCCCTTAATCCCAGCATGCTACAGGCCCAATATCAGTTCTCTGGGCCTTTTGGTTATTGAGGAGAAGTCGTTTGAAGATTTTACGTCATTTGATCCCTGTGACCTTGAAAGTGGGTCAAGGTCATTCATTCGAACAAACTTGGTAGCCCTTCATCCCAGTATGCTACAGGCCCAATATCAGTACCCTGGGCCTTTTGGTTATTGAGAAGAAGTTGTTTGAAGATTTTAAGATATTTGACTCCTGTGACCTTGGAAGTGGATCAAGGTCATTCATTTAAACAAACTTGGTACCCCTATATCCCAGCATGCTACAGGTCCAATATCAGTACCATGGGCCTTTTGGTTATTGAGAAGAAGTCGTTTGAAGATTTTACGACATTTGACCCCTGTGACCTAGGAAGTGGGTCAAGGTAATTCATTTGGACAAACTTGGTAGCCCTTCATCCCAGCATGCTACAGGGCCAATATCAGTACCCTGGGCCTTTTGGTTATTGAGAAGAAGTTGTTTGAAGATTTTAAGATATTTGACTCCTGTGACCTTGGAAGTGGATCAAGGTCATTCATTTAAACAAACTTGGTACCCCTTCATCCCAGCATGCTACAGGTCCAATATCAGTAACATGGGCCTTTTGGTTATTGAGAAGTCATTTGAAGACTTTACGACATTTGACCCCTGTGACCTTGGAAGTGGGTCAAGGTAATTCATTTGAACAAACTTGGTAGCCCTTCATCCCAGCATGCTACAGGCCCAATATAAGTACCCTGGGCCTTTTGGTTATTGAGAAGAAGTTGTTTGAAGATTTTAAGATATTTGACTCCTGTGACCTGATAGTGGGTCAAGGTCATTCATTTAAACAAACTTGGTACCCCTTCATCCCAGCATGCTACAGGTCCAATATCAGTACCATGGGCCTTTTGGTTATTGAGAAGAAGTTGTTTGAAGATTTTAAGACATTTGACCCCTGTGACATTGAAAGTGGGTCAAGGTCATTCATTTGAACAAACTTGGTAGCCCTTCATCCCAGCATGCTACTGGCCAAATATCATCAGCCAGGGCCTCTTGGTTATTGAGAAGAAGTTGTTTAAAGTGAAAAGTTGACGCCGGACGGACGCCGCACCATGCCATAAGCTCACTTGGCCCTTCGGGCCAGGTGAGCTAAAAATGTTGCATCATAAAGTATGAAAATTGTTTCCTTTTTGGAACCTCACGTCAACCGAATCAGGCTAAAAACCCAAGCTTTCCGAAATCCGCATAAGAACTTGAATCCGCCCGACAGACCATTAGAAAATTGCTTCATACACATAACGTTGGTGTTGGTGAATTAATGCGGTGAGGCTTTGTATGTCCTTTATCATGTCGGTATTAGTTATACCTTACACGAGTTATATCCCTTCTTTTCGACTTTGGCTACTTATCCGTGATGTATTGACACCGATTTCGACTCACAGAATTTAGATCTACTGCCATCGTTTTACTACTAGAACTGATAGAAATAATATATTTGTTGAGATCTGCTTTATCATAACAATTTGATATGGTTTTGGAAATGTATGGGTATTTTTTCGGGTATTAAAATCTTCCAAACTCATGCTCTCTTGAGTTTTATAATTCGTTCCAAAAATGCACCAATGGATTCGATCCAAATAATTTAGACCATGTCTATTACCGAGCACATTAGTGCCTCTAGCCAGAGCTTAGGGCATGGCGTGTCGGAAAAACCAATGCCCCTTCAAGAGAGGTCGCTGATCTTTCACAAGATTACTTGCCAGTATGTTGATACCACTTCGAACAAATGGGTTCACTGAAACAATAGGGGTATCAAAGCGCAAGTTGACGCTGGGAAAACAATAGTTGCAACCAGAGCGGTTCGAACCTATGATCTTTTCATCAGAGTAAATTTGGAACTACCCATGTAAGATTCTATTAGTCCAGTGTACTTACACCCCATTTCACGTGACGTGACGTCACAATGGCTCTATACTACAATGACGTGACGTCACGAATTGAGAACTCTCCGATGCCGCAATGCGGAAAAGGCGACGTGATGATATTAAAAACCTTTTACGATATATTTACCGTACACGTTAGAAAGATGTGATTAATTTTTCTGTGCAAACATTGTTTGCAAATAAGGGATATGCCTAAGGTCATAGTATATAGTGTATTGATAAACGGCAATAGGAAGTTCATCCCTAGTTGAAAATCCTTTGTAGAGAGACAGTATCACAATTTCCGCATATTCTAATGTTTAAATATTAAACTGATGAATATTGTATGTTTGTAATTGACGTAACAGTGTGTTCTCTCAATATTAAAGTATTTCAAAGCAATCTTGGCATTAATTCAGTTGTTTTTTATCAATGAGTCACATGTGTCCATTTTTCTGTACTTCAGGAAACCGGCTACCTATTTCACTACTGTGAAGTTTTTCAAGACAGATAACTCTTACATGCAATTACTATGTGTATATGGTTTTATTATAAAATGTCAATTTTTAATCGTTTATAGATAATCTATTTTACACAATTTCAGCATTTATTAAATTGATATACATTAATGCTATACTAATCTATGTCAGTATCATTTTTATTGACATTATTTTGCAAAAAATTGTGTCTTAAAACTCACTCCTATTTACATAAATTTCCATTTAAAATCCTTAAAATTCTGACAACCTATATTTTTTTTGTAGCAGAAAATGTTCCTTACTTCAAAGCAATGCAATATAACTACAAAATTTGGAGAAATTCTACTGAGAAATGGTGACACAATCCTATTACCTTAATCTGGCTGGTTGATTTGTTTTCGTCTAAAAAGCTCAGGCGAAAAATTGATATTTTCAAATTGGCCAGTCCAAACGCATTTTCATGGTTTCTGGGCTTACTCTGGTGGTTGAAATGAGAGAAAAATACTCTTTCATGCCCAATGGTGTAGAATAGGGATATTCCATCCTCGGTAGGAGTGTCCCTTAATCCTACACCCCTGTCAATCTTCAATCCCTAGATAAGAATAACAACTCTTTTAATAAAACTACATAAAAAACTTTATTTTATACACAATGCTTTCCATGGATTGTCCATGCTGACTCCATGTTATTTTCATAGGATAATGTATCCAAGTCAACATCTAATATTACTGGAGATAGCCCAATTTTTCATGAAACAACTGTACTTATAATTTAACTGACAAAAATGTGTACTTTATCTTTGGAACGACAAATCATAAATTTAAAAGGAGAGACACCATCACAAATACTTACTGTGTCAGTCACCACAAACATCGAAGCCATAACAACTACTTCTTACAATAATTATAGAGTATTCTGGGAGTTGTTTGGATGGAACACCGGACATGAGGCTGTGACCCAGGGTATATGGTTTCACATGACTAAACAGTCCCTTTTTAATACTGCATTAAATGGAGAACTAAGATAGCAGGACACATTGGGGGGTCTTTGTCTGCTTTTAAAGGAAAGAAGTCTTTAATATAATTTAAAGTAAATTCTACCACATCGACAGTGTAACCAGACTTTATATTTGTTAGTAAACATGGGAAATTTGCCATTAGAAATGCATGTATATTTTTCTTCTTTTTTTGTCCATTTATATCATGCATATGCATTGCTTTCCAAAGCCTCACCTTTATTTTAAATGTAAACAAACTAGCTATTTGTCACTAGCCTTGGAAGAGTTTACTTTTTGGAGCTAAAGAGGATACATCTGTTCATGTACATGTGCATACATAAACAATTAACACATAGAGAAGGACCAATGGCTGCAGCTTCCAGAATCTACCATACCAGTTGCACATAGCTTGTTGGTATGATGTAAATAGCATCATGTGATAGATGTTTGCAAAGCCAAATAATTTGAATCTCGAAGTCACATAGCTTTACAGGCACTGAGGTAGACATGAATGCACATTTCATTACATTTAGACGTGATGAAAAATTGATATAATCACCAACATACGTTTGTATATTATGGTGTTATATATAACTCAGAATTTAAAGAAGTTGGAAAAACGATTTGCAGCCTTTGCTTTGATAAATGTTTTTCAAACATTTTCTCACCCTCGTTAAATATTCCAATATAAATACATGCACATATGTTGATTATTTATTAAATAAAAAATGTATGGGGAAGTGGAACAAAAATCTGTTCAACCAACCACCATCCTCTCATCATTTAGATTTACCTAAGTGATTGAGGTAGTGTAACAACAGTACAAAAGCACAAGGTAGTAATAGATGGCTGGTCAGGTCAGAAACACAGGCAAGAATAACTGTCTATGGAGGTTGGATCAGAGCCTGGGTAATGACATGGAGCGAAACATCAGTTCCAGCTGCCAAACTTATGTAAAACCTCTCAGGGTGGAATTCGTACCTCTTAGGATTTATCTAAATACAAGAATGAGTTATCATACATAAATCGGGTCTAAAAATAAAATAAATAGAAAACTGAAATTCAGTGAAAACAAATTATTTCTTAGACCTGCCTGTTCCATGTTAAACGAGAAAACATCTGGAGCTGTGGATTAAATGTTGGGTGTGGTCATAATTGTGCAGCCGTAATGATAGGCAATGTTTACATTAATGATGATATGCCACATTTTAGTAGCTTGGCATGAGTGTAAAGAGTATGTACACATTAGCATATGCAGAGGATGGAACAAGCTCGGTCAACACAGACAGGCATCACCGGGTTTACACAGTATATAAATGTGCAGCTCTCCGATTCTGATTGTTGGTCAACTATAACCGGGTAAAACCAACAATAATCAATTAAGACATTACACAAAGATCAGGTAGTTTTAGGGACTAAAAATATATATACATCATATCCAAACTATGTTTCTCATATCTAGTTCCATGAATGATGATGCCCTATATTTCAGTAAAAGTGGTCTTCAAGATGTTGATTTCAAAAAGATTTTGAACTATTCTGTTAACAAAAATACTTTTAATACACCAATACCAGGCATCAACTTAACACTGTTTTGAAATTTGAATCCAAATCAAGCATAGATAAACAATATTAATAATCATTAGGAATCGAGTAATTCAGTATACCGGTATATATGTATATATTGATCCATTGATAGGAAGTTTAAAGTTGAACACTTTGTGAAGAAAACTATGAATGAATTTTCTCTAATAATTATAAGTGCATCATACCTTGTCATTTTGACAATGTTATTATCCGAACATAAACAAACTCATAGAAACAGACCTGCCTATATCTATATGGAATTCAGTAAAACGCTAAAAAGATATTTAATTGTCCTGTATGCCAATCTGCTACTTTGAGTCAGTAATTTTGTGATGGCCCCCTGGACTTGTCCATACTCTCAAAACATTTTCTTGTTCTAAAGATGGAACATGTAGCAGTCTTAGAGATTGATATTAACATTATAATATTTGTCTTCAATAAGGCTAATGGGCTATACAGTGATATGACAGTAAAAACCAAAGCACCTATGTAAGTATTGTATTAAAGATTTATTTTTTTGTAAAACAGTTTACTTACCGGTACAAATTAAAATAAAATTAAGGAGAATAAAATACCATGACGTTTTTAAAGTTGTAGATAACAGTACAAACATATCTGAATGTCTCTTTCTTCTGTTTAATATAATAATATAACACTGAACTTTACAGGAGCCCGTGTTGAGTTGATAACATATTGTTAGGAGACAGGTCCCGTGTCCTAGGCCTGTACACCAGTGGAAACGGTGACATGTTAGCACAATAGTAGCAAAAGCCAGCCACATACTTATGATTGACTACTTCTAACTTCACATGGAAACAGGGAATCCTGTGTGTGTGATGGCAAATTATTTAAAATTAACAACCATTTTATGGGTGTTTATCTAGCACACTGAGGATAGTAGACAGTCTAGTGGTTAACCTTTTTTCATATTATTTGGTAATACACTTGAAACAAAGAACTTGAAATTCTTGAAACTCTTAAAAGCAAGTTATTAAGTTTGGTTCCTTAAAATTTATGACAGGGAGAAAGGAGGGGTATGAAAATAACTGATAACTACATATGTCACTTATTGATAGGATAAAATAGGTTAATTTGAAATGCCAGCATTTCACTCCACCGAATACCATTAAAAACAATCGTATTTGTAATTTGTCCCTTCTCATTTGAAACAAACAACATTTTCTCAATTACCGATAATCACTTGTCATAAATGTATCATTAGATTTACAAGTATATACACAGACATACCGACTGATAACTCCACTACAATATAGTCATTTACAATAAATTACAAAGTATTGTGGAACTGTAATAAGGTGTATGGGAACCCACAGTCAAACATGGAGACATGCGTGTGCAGAGCACACAGCGTACTGGAACATTATATTATCACTAGGTAAAAAAGGCATCAACGACCACGAGCATAATATATGCATACTTAGTACAACAATGGTAATATCAACAGCCGTCCAGTTTCCCACCCCAGAAACAATAAGTATTAACATTGTCAGACCAATCAATGTTCAACGCCCTTCGACAAAAAAATCCTACTTCCCATCTTGATAGTCCGTTATGTCATACAACCTTTCAAGCTAAAAGTTCTCAAATTGTTGCTTGAACTACTTGCATATACCTGTTTGTATACTAACTAAATAATATTGATATACAGTGAAACCTCTTTTGTCTGGACGGGAATATCAAGTCATACAATTTAATCGAACAGGATTACTCATTTCATATTAATTTTTTGCTGGATTTTGGAGAGAGCCGAGTAACAGTGTTTCACTGTACATATGCAATATTTTGTAATTCTTAAACAGTTAAATCATTAAAAATAAGTTTGATTATATATGTAAATTATCATCAAAATATCATTCAATTAAAGCAATTTGGAACATTAATTTCAAATGTTAATGACTTGATTTGATTAAAAGCTCTATAAAACTTACCTATATCATAATTATCAATGATTAATAGGGAATTATAGTATACACCTTGAAATGAGACCAGATTTAGGAGAAATACCTTAACAAACCTTAAACCTTGTACATTGTAAACCTAAACCGATATACCTTAAAGGATATCGTCATTTTGGCATATGATGAAAAAATGACAAAAAAGGCACCTCAGTTTTTCTTTAAAATCTATCAAAATAAGCAGTTTACACAGACAATGGACACAAGACAAAACTCCTATAATATAAAAAAACAAAACACTGTTGTCTTTGGTATGCTGATGATAACAATGAACAACGATTCATGTTTCACTCAGAGAGCTGTATCGTTTAACCCATCCCCTAAAACAAATGGGACACTAGGACGGCTTCTACTTGTACTACAAGGGTTGTAGTTCTTGTTGTAGCCTTATTTATGTCCAAGACTTAAGTAATATTTTAGTTGAATGGGCCAACTGACTGGAGGATCAGTATAACGAGACCTATACTTGTAAATATCACACATAAAAGTAACCCTCTGTAAGCATTAACAAACTAAGGATTACACAGCTATACACAAGTATAACCCCTATCTTACTTTGTAACACTCACTCTTTAGCACTTACTTAGAATTCTACAAGCACTCAATAGATCAACCGGCCCAATAATCAGCTACTGAGTTAATTCCTGTACAGAAATGTTCATTTTTACAAACATTTTACAGGAATACGTTTTCTGACGCTATTCTAATACCAGGATATTCCTAATAAACCCATTACTTAACAAGAATATCATTACTGAATTGAAAAATTTGCTGAGATAGAGCTATACTAAACCCATTACTATTGCATCATGGGATTTCCCTACTGAATCCATAAGTATACTGTGAAATCCCTACTGAATCTATATACTTTACTGAGACGGCCCTATTGCATCATGGGATATCCCTACTAAACCCATCATTGTACATATTGTGATATCCCTTCTGAGCCTATCTACTGAGACGGCTCTATTGCATCCTGGGATATCCCTACTGAATCCATTATCGTACATATTGTGATATCCCTTCTGAGCCTATCTACTGAGACAGCTCTATTGCATCCTGGGATATCCCTACTAAACCCATCATTGTACATATTGTGATATCCCTTCTGAGCCCATCTACTGAGACAGCTCTATTGCATCCTGGGATATCCCTACTGAATCCATTATCGTACATATTGTGATATCCCTTCTGAGCTTATCTACTGTGACGGCTCTATTGCATCCTGGGATATTGAACCCTACTGAACCCTTTAGAATACTGTGATAGCCCTATTTCATCATGGGATATCTCTGAATCATTACTTTGCACACCTGGATCATCCCTATTGAATCAAATATTTAGATGAGATATCCCAACCTTCATGAACCAATAATCACAGGGACACATCCATATTGAATCAAGAACTATCTCTACTGAACAAATTAGATAACAGGGTTATCCCTACTTTACCTATTAATTTATGGTGAATTCCCTACTGCAGCTGTAAGTTCACTGGGAAGCCCGTAGTTAACCTATTAGTTGCCCTTATATCTGTGTAGTGGCCTACTGGGTAAATGTTTCATTCCATTTTATGATACATTTAACAAGTTCAAATTAATTGATAAACCTAACCAAAATAATGATCTCATCATTATTAAAAAGTAAACTGCAGACAATGGCAATGTCATTTCTGTTCCTTTCGAAAGACATTAAGTTTGTCATCGCTGTATATATAGTTCACAGTCCTTTTGATAAGTGGTATGTGAGTATAAAATACCTAAAAAGTAAGATATTAAGGGTAAGGGCAATTAAAAGCTTTCTGAGGAAAATATATACTGTTTTCAACCAGCAAAAATCACTATCACTACTAGTAATGCTGGTAAATTTTCATATTTGAAATCAGACCAATTAATGATATTTGAAATTCAGGTCAAAGGAAGGAAGGATACATTCTCTTTCAGATTTAAAACACTGTTCAGCTTTAACGCTTTGATAACATTGAATTGGATGTGTTCACGGTACATCAAAACGTTTCGTCAGTGCCTGACACAGACTGGCTAAGGTAGCTGCCGAAGCTGCGGCTACTCGTGCCATGGTAGGAGAACTGTTCAAAGTATGGCATCTCGCCTTCCTCCTGTATGGACAGCAGTTGTCGTGAGCTTTGTGACAGCTCACTCTGTCTGTGGTGGGGCGGGGTCAGAGACATTGGCTCCCGTGCAAACTCGTCTGGGATGTACTTTGTGTCACAGCTACTCTTCACATCTGGCTTCCAGGGAGGGGCGATCTAGGAAGAGAGAACAAACATTGAGGTCACAGTGCTGGGCATTGATTGAACACTGAAACATATCTTTATATAGGAAACCCGTCTTTGTAGGACAGCAAAACGTATCTATATCTGTTTGCCGTCAACAACAATTTTGTACTGTTAAGATTATTCAGTGGCTTGTATAAGGTCTTGTGATATCACCATATGGTTTTATCATATTACAAGCACCGAGAGATACACTAATAGTGTACTTACCAGGTACCTAAAGAGGCCCAGTGGACCTGTATTGCTTACTTTGAAGTTCAACAATTACAGAAAAATGTTCTCTCCATTTTGGGGACTGCCTTTTAGTACCAAGTGGAACAAACCCGTCTTTTTTTTTTGACATTTTATTTCCCTTTCCCAAGAGTATTTCAAACAAAATGTGTTTTATTTATCTTAAGGATATTTCATACCAAATTCGGCTGAAATATAATCGTCTGATCAAGAGCAGAAGGCTTAATAGGATCTAAAACCAACCCAAGATTCCCATTTTGAGCATTACCCCTCAGCCCCCATCGTCTAATATCTCTAGTATGTGTACATGTAGCACAATTGACTGTGGGTATATGACGATGCTCAGCCCTAAGGCCAGCTACACTCCCCCAGGGATGGGGCCAGCCCCCTGCGCCAGTCGTGATAGTATGAGTGATTTAAAAAAGAAAATTAAGCTGATAATTGTTTAAATTCTTAAAAAGAAGGGATCTCTACCATTAATGTCTTAGGTACTAGTCGCCAGGAGTGGGGCAGATTTGTTTGATTTGGTAGTGGGGATCAGGATAATTTTTAATGGGTAAAACTGTATTAAAACTTCTTCCGTAGAGTCCCCCTTCCTCCACACCAACTGATAACTGTACAACTCTAGTAAAACTTTTCGAAGCAATTAAGTATACGCATTGTGTCACTTGGCTGAAGGGTTTTTGAGATGAAATTTGGTTCAAATCCTCTTATCTGTTTTAAGGAAAAGGCTTAAGATCTACCCAAGTATCCCTCATTGGCCCCCACCTCTTTACCCATAGGTGGGGTGGGGGCACACCCCCCGTTTCTAAAACCTTAATTATGTCTCTATGGCAAAAGGATCCACTTAGCTAGAACTAGTAGTGTTTTAAAGGAATGATGGCCGACAGCAAATGCATCATGGCTTAAGCTCATTGGTCCTCAGATTGGACCAGGTGAGCTAATCACCTTGATGTTTAAGTCATGATTGACAAAATTTGTACGTGTTATATAACGTCCCACACTATCTCTCACTAACCATATGCTTCTGTCATATTAAAAGCACTTACAAAGAAAACTAGCACATGCTATAGTGTCCAATAATATATCATTTTTACTACCAAATGTTCCGGCAGAATAGCGACAAACGTGTCCATGTCATATACATATATAATCCCAGAGTTTATTGAGGACAGAGAAAATGTGATTATAAGGTAGTGAAACCTATACAATGTACTTAAGGACAGTGATTATACTGTGCTGCAGGATGCTGTTAAGTCAACAATATGTATGTATTTGTATTCATCATAATATGAAATGCTTTATCATAAAATTATTTTACAGATCAGTGAAGAAGAATCTAGCAATATGTAACACTGTGAAACTTTTCATGACATTTCTGTAAACAAATGTGTAAAAAAATAAAAAAAAATATGGAAAAATCATACAGCACTGCTTTAATGTTTTGCAGAATACTTTCTGTATACCTTAGTTTTTTCTCTGAAAATGTTCTAGTTTGGGATCTTTCTTATATTCTAATGATTTATTGTTTTAATTTACAGTACAGCAAAACCTGGATCACCCATATAGGACAGAGAACTGAAAGTGTTTCTTTAACAACAAAAGTTGTCTGTACTAAGAAAGCAAATGAAACTAGAATTAATGATGAGCAACAACACCACTGAATCCGGTATAAAATGTGATGTTTGATTAACATCCTAAGAAAGCAAATGATAGACAAAACCTTTACTTTTATAATTAACTCAAAGAGGTCATGTATTGATGAGGCACCTGATCACTGATAAACTGTAATTATTGTCCCAATATCTGAAAGTTTTACTCCGACACTCTAAATAGTGTGTTGAGTATGTTTTGAGTAAACAGCTTATTACGATTTTATTGTTATTTGAAAGATTTGTGATATCAATGTATATGTAACTAGCTCCATGGTGAGTCTTGGTTTTTCAATTGTGACAATACTATCTTAATTTTTGTATTTACCAGTATAACACTTAATATATATTTTCATTAACCTTTAACTTGCAAATAGAAGTTTTCAGTTGATACTTGGTTTTAAGAAATAGTACATCTGGGATGTAATCGGCTGTAAAACCAAAAAGTCCTTGTCAGAGAAACAATAAACCTGTTTGACAACGAAATCCAATGTCTAGTTGTTGTGATTGGGTTGTAAATATAAGCTGTATGACAGAACACTGACAGGCCAACAAGGTCCCGGCCATGTATTTGACCGTGGCATATATATCCCCCATATTTGCTGAGCACAAACCACAGCAATGATCTTTAATTTTGAAGTAATAGAAATAATGAGTTATGATTTTTTGTAATGTAGGAGTCTATGAACAGGCTGCATTGAACATTGCTGTTCACAGTGATGTAAAACAAAAATACTCCTATACAGTACATGATTTTTTTTATTGATCTAGCATGGTAACTAACCTCTTAATATTACACAAGAAGAGTATCACCATGTATTTACATAACTTCATACACTCATTAATTACTTCGTAGAGGATGTTCTGTTAATCACAGAATTGGTCAATCCAGGATAAAAGTGATTGTGACCCCTACAGGTGATATACATGTACTTTCCTCCCACACACAAAGAGATAGGCCAAGTTTTCTCTAGCCCCAAAACTGGCCTTCTAGCATTTTGACACCAGACATCTGTCAAAATGTCAAAAGTGTGGTGTTTGGAGCCAGAGGCACTCGGGTTAACACTGACTGTAGTATGGAGTCTTATCTCCTGTACCTCTACAAACTGAAGTATTACCGATAGAGTCCTGATTTTGACCCTTGCAGTTCATGTGTTAGAGCTCTGACCCGTGTCCTTAGACTCGATCTTAACCCTGCCCCCACCCCCTATCTGACCTATAGGCATTACAGAACTCTATAGACTGTTTTGACCCTTGAGGCCTCTAGTATCCTTACAGACAATGTATATTTAGTTCTGACCCCTCCCTTTCTTCTGACCTGTACACAAAATACAATATATATATATAGTCCTGAACTCTCCTCACTTTCTGCTCTACAGAGAATATAGTGTTTGGCTCGAGCTCCAGGCCCTAAAGGCTTGTGGCCCCAACAAGCAATCAGCACTATTCCTGGCTAGGTTCCTTATAGACTACAATTGTAGTAAGAATTCCGGACTCTCAATTTATAAGGAACATTATTAGAGTATGTGAACCCTACAGTCTGTGGTATTAAAATCCTGACAAATCAACTATCAAAGAAAACTGTGTCAAGGATTTCAAACAAACTATAACAAATCATTATCATACCATGATTACATATATATATATAAATTCTCATAAACAGTAATATATTTTGACTTGTACTTCAGTACAATAGTTTTAAAATGAAACATTCAATGAGCAAACATAACATATTCCACACTTCAACAAATAAAGTATTACTATCCATATAAAACTGGCTTTTGACATTCATACTGTGCTAAACACATAGTTGTTGGGTCAAATCTCAACATAATGGTCTATTGTTCTTCTTATAGTTCTATGAATTATATTTTAGTTCTATGAATTATATTTTAGATGGCTAGTGGGACAACTGTATACGGTATAGCTGATTTAATTAAGAATTCTGATACCTAATACAAACTCTGATCAAAATAATAATTATCTCAAATATTTGCCTGAAATGTTTTAAACTAAACAGAGTTACCTCCCTTTAATGTTCTACACAGCATCAGCAATGATGGCAACAGTCCACAAATGTTTTTGCTTATGAAAAACAGTGTTTGTTTTTTCACGAGAGATTACCTGTCATTATGTTTTTTGGGGATAATATCACATCAAATGATGTACATATATCTACTAAACAGGTCGTAACAATAAATGTAGGGGGTTTTATGCTCCTTAACTGCACTTCCAGAAGCTTTCAACAACCGTGATTTAATTTTGCTAAATTCTATAATTGAAATAAAACAATTATAAAATATTAAAACAAAAACATTAAACAGCAGATATAAAGTCCAAAATATGAAGATATCAGTACATTCAAACTGATTTTGAGGTAGTGACTTTCAGCCTATGCGAACAACCTGATTTTTTTTAAAAGATAATAAATGTAGATTGACAATTCCTGGACTATGCTTTATTTGGCCTAATTTATTTAAAATTATATTTCAAAACATTTGAAAATTCAACAAATTTAATTTATCAAATCAACATAATTTTTATTCAGGATGGTTTTCTATAAATGCATTACAAAATTAATGCAAGGATTTTAATTTTTCTCTTTCTCCAGCCAAAGTACCACGGACTGTAAATCTGTAATCTCGGGATTGCAGAGTTTGGTAATATTTCTGTTTGATGACAAATATTCAGATTACCACACCCTGTATAATGATGCCTGGCATACAATTATGTGAACAAGTACCTGGTAAACCTTCCCTTTAGGCAAGACCTTACCCAAACCTTGGCACACTCATGAACTACATAATCATAAAAACTTCATACATTTTTAATAGTTTTTTATCATTTAGGGGTAAAAAGTGTCTGGATGTTCAACCTGGCTATCATTAAATCATTTATACACATAAAACAATGAGATTTTAAGAGTAAGTTTGTAAATAGCTATATTGCTCCACACAGTATGGGGTGGGGGGAGGGGGGATAAGGTTAAAAGATTTATTCGTGTAGCTATGCAGACTACTAAGTGTCAATAACTGGTTGATGTTTTAATATCCTGATATCTGTTATTTGCCATGTTTGATCTGTTTGGGG